TTTAGGTATAATGTTTAAAATACGTTACACTTCATATTTTTTACATTTTAATTTATTGAAAATTGTATGTATTTATTTATGTAATTTTAATGAATACAATAAATTATTTTGAATTTAAAGTGATATTTACTTTTTATTTGTGAAAAAATAATCAATAGTCATTAATCATATTTAACGCATTTAAAGGCATATTAAAACATTTTCAAAAGCGTATTTTAAAAAATGTATGATCTTTAGTTCAAAGTTCTAATAATAATAAAAGCATAATATAATGTTTTACCAGTTACTGGGCCTGTATGACATTTTAGTATAGCTTTTACGCATGGTGGTGAAGTCAAAACATCACAAATACTAAGAGTTCCATCATTTGATGCACAACACAATTTTGATTTATCATTATTAGCAAACTTCAACATTGTTACTGCATCTGAATGCTAAATTCGAAAAACAAATAAGCAACAAAATTAAAAATATAAAAGTAAGATATGTACCTGATCATAAATATGATGAACATTATTGAATGCATAATTTTCTTCCATGGTACTATTTCCAACAATAGCTTTGGAAGCTTGAGCATGAGTGGTTGGAATAGGTGATGATAAAAAATCATACTTTCGAGGTAATAAATCTATTTCTAATTGCTTGTCTTTATTTAAACTAATCTGTTAAAAGTAAAAACTATGTAATAATTTAAATAGTTAATTAATTGAAATGGATACTATACATTAATGCATCCCAAACTTATTCACTAAGAGACTACTTAAAGATACAAATATTACATTGGTATTATAATTTAATTTTTAAAAATAATATTATCTTTTTACTACATTTAGTTATTTTAAATTATTATTTAAATATATCAAGATTAGTTTTCTAACCTCTTCAGGTTTATTTGCAGACTACATTTTAGAAAACACTTCAATAAATTATGAGTTTCATATAAACTAAACTCTAAAAATGCCCCATTTGTCTGTAACTTCTAATTTATAAAAGTGCATGGTGACATTGAATTGAATTCTTTTACTGCCTCTAGGTACTACATTACACTTCATTATGAAAACAATTAATTATGTATATATATATATGTGTGTGTGTGTATTTACCAAACTAGTACTTTGGCTACAAGCACTGTTAGACTGCATATCAACATTAACATTATATCTGTTTTGTAAAATTGCTGATCTAATACGTAAATACCTTCTTCTCATACCTGGAATCATATCCTAAAAAAGAAAACCAAAAATAAATATCTACTTAAACTGAGTACTAAAATCTATACTGTGAATATTAAAACTTACATCTTGTTTAGATTTTTCTCTGAGAAGTTGACTTCTCCTTCTAATGTAAAGTGTTCCTTAAAAAAAATAAAAAAAAATAGATACACCAAAATGAAAAATATTTTAATTATTCCTTACTTGATAAAATTAATCAATTATAATATTTTTATCTAAAATAAATTAAAAATTTAAGGTTTAACTAATAACTTGCAAGTATTTAAAAGCAATAGTGATCGAATACTTTTGTTATTATTTTTGAATAATATTTTTCTATGATTTAAATAATGGTAACATAGCTACTATATTTTGTAATAAAATTTAAAAATAAATTGTTAGTGAACATTTTTTTGCTTAAATAAGAAACATTCAGGTTACAGTCATAGTAAAAGAATCAAATTTACTCAAAGTAACTTAGTGATTTTATGCCTATACCATTGTTGGTTTTTAATTATTAGATGATATTATAGTAAAACAATTTTGCACAAAAAAGAACCACTAATGATTTAATTGTATTTAAAGAACCAAATTTATACAGTCTAATTATTATATGAATTGCATAGCGGCAGTTTTACTTTAATTATTAATAATATGAAAATGTATTTATGTTAAATAATCATAAAAATGAGTTTTAAAAGAGTAAGATTTAAATGACCTTTTTGTATAAATAATATAAATAAAATAAAAACACTACAACACAGTAAATATTATCTTTTGTACGTTGAACAAATTTAGTTTTTTTTTTTTTTTTAGTTTTTATTAAGAAATACACAATATGTACTATTTAGCACAATATGAGTATGTGATGACTGAAAAAAAATGTATTGAATATTAAAAATAAGAAATCACCCATTAGTGACACTTGATTAAATTTAATTTCTAAAATATAATTAAAGCACAAGTGGTTTTTTTTTTGGCATAAAATTAGTTAACAATAACATAATCTCATAATAATAAACTAACCATGTTAGTTAAAGACATGAAATCATTTTTAAGTACTTTTGAATTATTTAATATTTAAATAAACTTTAAATAACATTTTTTTCTAAACAATATTTTAATATTCTATATTATTCCTTAAAAAAAGGGAAAGTGTTGTTCTCATAATTATATAAATAATATATGAAGTTATAATACATAAATAATATTTATTAATACTAAATTTAATGCTAGAACTTAAAAGTGAACTAATCTTATTTGATTTCATTACACCTTTTTTATTTTTATTTAATTGCAATACTAAACTTACTAAAGTTTGGGTGGTTTGAAGTTCTATAGGCGTTAAATTTGGAATCCAAAACAAAAGCTTGTTGTTGCCACATTTTGTTAACATAATCTTAATCCAAATCACTTGAATAACAATCTATTTAATCATAGTGGAGCATATAAGGTTCGACTATGTAGAAATTGAGATTCAGATTAAGATGAATAATACAATTATTTTTCTACTACTGAGTAGTCATGATGAAATGAAGTACTATTTGATTAAATTTTTCATAAAGATTGAAATCCAGTCAATTTCTAAGTCTATATTAAAAACACCTATAACACCATAGGGCGTTCTTTTTTGTAGAGAACAAGAATTGTAAAGGTAAATAATTAGTCAATAAAGCAATCCGCCATTAATCCATGGGGCATGGACTGTTTTAAGTAAAACATGAAACTAACAAATTACATATATTCTATATAAATATATTATTTAATAATTTCATGCTAAATTTAAGCATATTTTCGAAAAAACTAAATAATAATTACCTAATTAATAATTAAATTAATATTTAATAGCATATTCTAATTTCTAATGTATTATAGTATTACACTGTTATCTACGCAACGATCGCGTTGTCATTGTAGTGACAAGACGTTTATTTGGAATCAGCTGTAATGATTTATGATAACATGTCGTTATCGATATTTATTATTTTCGTTTGTGAGTTCGAAATTATAAACTATCATACAAAGAAAAGTTACTAAAAATGTTTGTTTGAACACCCGTTCAGCGGTAAAAATGTCCATTGTGCTGAAAATGCTGAAATATTGTTATCTGTTCACCTTGAGCAATGCTACCTGTTTCTTGCTTCTGCTAACGATATGTCAATTGTCGATTATATTTCAATGAATATTAAGTCCAACTGTACGTAAACTGCCCAACGAGCACATAATTTTATCGATATATCGAGATAAACGATAATTAATAGTAAACATAAATTCATTTTATCGATTCAATAAACGATTCAACTGCATTATGATAATCATATTTAGTATCCAATAAGAATGGTATTATCTTATAAAATCTGCATAGACTTTTCGATTTTCTTTAATCCAATAAAAACACCTAGCACCAAGTTAATAAGTTAATAATCGATAGTTTCTTTTTCTGGTTTACATAATAGTGAATCCATTATTTCTGTCATTTTGATAGGTATATCGTATATAAGTAAAGCTTATACAAGTTATAGATCTGGGAAATCAATTAACTGTTAAAAGCTGTTGAAACATTTTTAATCATTATTATCAATTTTATAGCTTCAGTATTAATCAATTTCAAAATTTAGAGACGTGACTTATTTTTCAAAAAAATTAATAAAATAGTGTAGAAAATTTAAAATAATATACGATCAGTTATTTTTTACTTCTCGTTTGCAGTTTTATTGAATGAATTAAAAATTTTAATTCTTAAGTTAAATCATAAAACATGGAAGCAAATAAGACCAATGAATACATATTTTAACATTTTGAAAAAAATAATTAATGGTTAATAAATTCATGATTCTATTAAAAAAAATAACCTGTAACTACTCGATAATTTTTAGAAATTAGAATTTATTTTGTACTCACAGAGTGCAATAAAAAATCAACGCAAAAAAGTAAATTTACCGTATCACTGTTGATTTAATAACAAATTCTATAAGTTAACAGACAAAATTAAATACTGAAACAGTGCTTAAAACAATTGAAATCATCACGAGAAAGAAAAACAGATCATGAAGGTTGTTGAAAAAACTTACGTCAGATTCGAAATAAACTTTTGACGAACCATCAATAAAAATTACCTTCTTTAATTCTCGTATCATAAAATAGTTCTCATCAATCATAATATGTTATGTAATTAAATTTTAAAAACCATAAATAAAATATTAATTACAATTGGTTACACATCAAAATATATGTATACATAAAGCATAAAGGACATTTAAAAATGGTTGATAAAAAAAAAAAACTTATATTTCTTAATATTTTCTGGCAGCTGTTAGCCTTAACTTGTACCTATATTTATATTTTGTATTATGATCTCATGTAAAACATATATCATCCCTCTTTTGTTTTATCGATGACTGCTAAAGTAACTGTACCATACGTTTATTTTTCCACGACCACTGTAGAATCTGTAAATACGAATTAGGTATTTAATCATTTGCTGCATTAATCGATGCGTGTTAAAAAAGTCACGGTCGTTTTCGCTAATACGTTTTCCCCTCAATTACTATTCTAGCTTATTTGTAATTAGTAAGCATTCATTATACTTGCAATAAACGTTACTCTAATTATTACCAAAAATTGTATATTAAAATTATACTTTCTGTTGATTTCTGATTTAGCTACCTCCAAACAATAGTATCTTCAAAATTTTCTTGTATAATGTATTATCATTTATGGTACTTGATAACTAATTGTCTGTTATTATTATTATTATTATTATTTATGCTCTTTGATTAGTGTTAACAGGAAGGGGACGCCAACTAGCCTCATTACCGTCAAAAACATTAAGCAACAGAGTACGGACTACGGACGCACGTTATACATTATTCAACAACTGAACAACTTGCAGTTTTTCGAATAATTTTTTATTTTTTTCGTGTCGCTCTTGTCTGACATTCTAATTGCGATCGATTTCCACTCAGGTCTTGGATTGATGCAGATGCGTTTGTGATCGTCGTTTTTCTAACTTAGCATCCAAGGTGAGTACCACATGATCGTCCAAAATTGAATGTGATAAGATGCGACAGGTACATCGTCAAACACGTTTTTTCTAGAATCTTCAGTCTCTATGCATGACCATACTCACATGGAGAGATCTATGATATTCTTGAGTTACAAGCCCGAAATGGTGAAGTAATAGGGATTAATATTTTATTTCATATTTTGTGGCCTGTGTTGAACGTGGACGTGGGTAATATAATTCGTGACAACCATCTTTCCCGCTTGCTTACACAATCGTGGTTAGATGTGATTCGTAAAATTATTAGCGGTATTATCAATTATTACATATATTTGATCCATGTGATCTGTGATCAGAATTTTCTTATTATTTACCAAATTAAAAAAATATTGTTCAAGTAAATCGATCCCACAAACAATTAACAGCCACCTAGCCACACATTGAAATAGTTAAATAATTTCAAATACCTATTTGGTATTTTGGTTGTAATACAGTAACATACTAACATGTTAATTACGTGCTTAACATGGTAGGTAACAGTGTAGAATATTTTGGATTAAATTATTTTTGGAATTTGTTTTAAAACCATTAATTTATATTGTATATTTTTAGGTTACCAAAATAGTACTTAATAGCTAAAATGGAAGGTAAAATACTCGACCAGGAAACAGTTGCTGAACACAATCCAGCTAGTGAACAAATTACTAATACAAAATCAAAACGTAAATATGATATAATAATTTTTGGCGCCTCAGGATTCACTGGACAATTTGTTGTTATGGAAATGGGTCGTTTTTCTCAAATATACAATTTGACTTGGGCTATTGCTGGACGTAATGCTGTTAAATTACAAAATGTATTGGATAAATTGTATAAAACTGTTGGTAAGTTTCTTTATTTTACTATAAAAATAACTGTAAAATAATTGATTTAGAATCTACAGATAACAGCTTTCATTTTTTAAGGAACGTTAAAAACCATTGTGTATATGTTTGAATCCTTAACTTTTAAAACAACAATGGTGTTTTTCGTTTCTATAAATGATGTTAAGCACTGTCTTCAGCAATAAAATTATTTAAATATTTAATAGTATAAAATTTAATTGTATCTTTTTTTTTTTAGTTTATATAAAATATTTTATTGTTTAAAGTAAGATTAATAATGAACAATAGAATCTAGAAATAACCACAGGTATTGTTACTTATCTCTAGTAATTTTTATTGTATTTATTAAATATTATATAGATGGTTATGAAGATAAAAAAATTGATATTATTTATGCTGATGTACAAGATATTAAAACTATCATGAAAATGACACAAACAACTTCTGTGGTTATTAATTGTACTGGACCGTACTATATCTATGGAGAAGTTGTAGTCAAATCTTGTGTTTTGACATCTACTCATTATGTAGATGTAACTGGTGAATCATTAGTAAGTTATGTATAGGTTGTTAAAATTTAATTTAATTAATGTTTTCTACAGAATCTACAAACCTTTTTTTTTTAATGTATTTTAAAAAGCATGTAAAATATTTATTGAATTAAGTATATTGTATTTTTATTATTTTATTACTGTATGATTAATAAGTGATAAATAGAAAACCGAAACCGTGTTTAGAAAATATTATTTTGATATTTGTTAATTGTTTTTATTCAGTTATTTAACACATTTATAATATTATAGTTTATGGAGAAAATGGCGTATATTTATAATGGACAAGCTGAAGAAAACAATGCAATTATTGTTAGTGCACTTGGTATGGAGAGTGTGCCTGCTGACCTTGGTGTAGAATTTTTATACAAAAGTTTTAGGGGTATTTTAACAGTTTATAGATATTAAATAAAGTATCTGCCTGAATTAATTATATTTTTTTTATCAGGTGAGTTGAAGAATATTGATATATACATGAAACTTTATAGCAGTTCATTTGTACTTACTGATGTGAGTAATACAATTTTTATTTTTATTATAATAACTAATAAATTGTATAAATTATTTTTTTATGATACACTGTCAACATAATTACCATTTTTTAGCTTTTTTTATCTGGCTGTATTAGTGTATTCTGGTGTACATGGGTTGTATAAAAATGATTAGTATGACCAGACTATTAGATAACACAAATTTCATATGGTGGTGGTTTCATTTATACTATAACCTACAAGAGAACAACCATATTCCATGAATCGATTCTGATAGTCATAAGTATTAGCTAGTTATTTTTCTTTTACCATAATGCCATTCCCACACAGTTGCCAACCTTTCATCTCATTGATTATTCAGACCTGTATGGCTCCATATGTAGAAACATGTTGAAAATGAATCAGTACTTAGTGATAATAAAGTATTTATGGTTGTTCTGTCATGGGTACAAATAAACACGAGTTTAAAAAAAATAGCATTTAATTTGAAGGTTTAAAAAATAATGAAATATTATGTACAGTGTAGTATCAGTATCTGAGTATAATTTAAATTAATTTAAGAAATGACAGATATCACAATAATTAAAAAATAATGAGATGCTTTGTAATATTGATTAATAAATTAATAAATTGTAATATTGTGTTTTTCTTACATTTTATTAAATCTAACAATAAATACATTAAGAATATGTATGTAAATTTTTATTTCATAAAATAAAAATACTAGTCATTAGGATGTTATTTAATTTTATGAATATTTAAATTTTCCATGATAAAGACTTATATAATAGATTGGTAATTTTATTCCAAATCCTAATAAGCTGTGTTTGTATTTCAGAGTGCATTGATACATGATGGTACTTGGATAAGTGCTATATTACATATGGCTACTAAAAAACAACGTTTATACTATCGAAATCTTTTAGATGAGTCAATGGGAATAACTAGAATAAAACCAAATGTTTCCAAGTATGTATTTATTTATTTATTATTATTAATAATACCCACAGTAACATAAACCATTGGGAAAATATAATTATGTTATATAGTAGACTTAATTTTAATTATTGAAAATATAAATATTGGCTTGTTGACAATTTTTAGGAATGATAAGTTAGGTATTTATATTTTTGTAATTTATAGTTAATTTTGAAAATTCACTTTTTTATGAAATCATTGTTAGTTATTGAAGAGGATATATTGTGGTCAAGAGATTCTGATAAATATTTTCAATCAGCTGTAAACCTATTTTGTTTTATTTATATGAGAATAATTATAGAATGATAATTTTAAGCTTTTACTATTTAAAAACTAATAAATATTAAATTTTAGGATATTGCATAGACGGCAAATCAGTACAAAAGTTGACAAAAAGAATTGGTGTTTGGCTTTACCAGAACCAGATCAAGCTGTTATTACTAGATCAGTACATCATGCCAGAACTAAAGATAATTTACCTTATAACTTTAATGTTCGAAACTATGTGGTTTGTGGTGGTTTAATATCAGCTATTATTGGTTTATTCTTTTTCGTACTGCTGTCAATCATGGCCATATTTGAACCTACTAGAATTCTCCTTATTCGGGTAAGATAATCCAATCATTTTTAGTAAAGTTGGCTTAAGGTTATGTAAGTTTAATATATTTCTAGTGTCTTAAACTTTTTATATAGAATTACAATATTTTTATTTCCTTAACACATAATTAAAAGTATCAGAGCTGATACTTAACTTCATTAGAAAATAATTAATATAAAAATATATATTTTGTGCAGATCTATCATTAAGAATAAATTTTAAAATGGACTATATAAAATTTATATATCCATTAAAATGTGTATCATAATCAATAGGTTATATAATGCCACTGATATTGTGAAGTACTTTAAATAAAATAGAACTATTAACATAGAGTTAGTTTACATTCAAATAAAAACAACAATCAAATTATTAAATATATTTTATCAATGAATTTGAATTTTTTTTATGTATTATTTAATACTATGTATACCCTGCAAGGAATAAAAACTTATTTGTTAATAGACCAAAATATTGTTATTCCACACAAAACGTAGGTATATTATTATCATGAATAAATTGTTATTAGATGATCATTTATAATATAATCAATAACAAATCAGGTAGATAAAAATAAATAAAAATAAAATATTTCATTAAATCAATTAAATATTATACTCCCTCTCATTGTATTCAAGATAAAATACACATTTAGATGTTTATGTGTAGTATATAAGTGAGCATTTATCAGTTCTATAAAATTAAATAAATCATTTTAATTTATAATAAATACCTTAGAATTTTTAGGATCGTACCTTAAGACTGCTTTAATTATTAACTAAAAATTTTTAAAACTAATGAGTATTATTTGTTCAAAATTATAGTTTCCAAAATGGTGTTCATTGGGGATGGCAACCAAAACAGGTCCAAATGAAAATATTTTGAAAAATTCACGTATGTCATTAACTTTGATTGGTCATGGAACAACGTCTGTCAAGCCTCCAATTGAAAATCTCAAGAAAACAACATATAAAGATAATACTACCACAAGACAAACTATTATTAAGGTAATTTTTATTGACAGCAATTGTTTATTATTAATTGGATATATCATGAATATATCAATACATTAACATTTATAGAATTTTCTTGAAGTTTTTTTTATATTTATAGGTCAAAGCTAAAAACCCAGGTTATGGATTCACTAGTAAAGCTGTTGTTTTGGGAGCGATAACTATTATAAAAGATCAGATTAATATTCCCAAAGGGTATATCATATTTATTTTCTTTTAATAATATATTTATTAAAATATTAAAATATTATATTTTATAGAGGTGTTTTAACGCCGGCGTCTGCATTCCGTAATACGCAATTTGTGAAACGTTTAATGGATCATGATGCTGCAATTTTTGAAATTGAGTCTGATTTAGTTACATACTAATAACAATATAAATTTATTTAAATTTATTTTTACCTCTTTAGTTATTTTTAGTCTTTAATAATATTCAAAATGTATTCCATTATAGATCTCTCTAAGGATGTAAAAATTTAGTTATATTTGTTTTACCTTTTAATTGTTATATAACTTACACAAAAATTAAAATATATAATGGCTCTAGTTATTTTATGTTTATAAATCACTCTGTATCTTTAGTCATACACCTACATTTTCAAAGATAATAAATTATACATATAAAAATGTAATACTGTATCAGTTTAATTATTGATTGTTATTTTGTATATATTTATTGGTAAATAATTTACCATAATTGGTTTATATGGAAATTCACAGTAGAATAACCAAAATATAAGAAACGCATGTGTATTTCATTATTTAATTTATTTTAAAAACAGATATATATATATTACAGTTAAAACACAAATGGTACATTTTAGTTAAAATTTTAATTAATTAAAAACTAGTAATTATCAAATTGAGCTGTACTGTTGAGTTGTTTGCATTTTATTTTTAAATTTAAATATGTGAATTTTCAGTATTTTGTAAAACTAAAAATTATTTATGAATTATTTTTTTAAATGTGATTTATATCAAAGTTATGATGTAATACGATTGGCTGCTATGTGTTTCATACCTCAATTTATGATGATGCTGTAGATTTTTGAATGTGAGTATAATTGGGATATTACAGACACCATTTAAAATTAGTGTGAATGATTGGTGATGTGTAAGTCATAAACTTTGATTTAATTGTTTGAGAGATAACATATCTCAATCCACCTAATGAAAATCTTAGGAAAATCAACCATTTTAATAATATTACATCTAGTAAAATTATTATTAAAAGGATGCCACGCCTGCATGTATTATCTTCGTCTTACATACAACAACATACCAAATTTTCATCCATCAGAATTAATTTTAAGTTGTTAGCTTTAATATTAGAGTTAATTTATCTATCATCAAACTTCAAGGTAAAAATTTTATGTAGGCCATCACAGGCTTTTATTAATATTAAAACTTTAAAGAGAGTTATGAGCATTTTAAAGTTATAATATTTTACATGGCTATAATTCAGTTTAAAATTAAAATATCAATAAAAGCTTATATGATGCACTAAACAAAATTCTTACTTTTATGTTTGATAATAGATAAATTTACTATAATATCAAAACTTACAACATAAAATGGATTCTACTTGAACAAAAATTTGCTATGTTGTATGTAAGACGGTGATAACACACGCAGGTCCTCTTAAGAAAATTTTTATTAATACTAATTATTGACATATTATGACATTTATAAAATATATTTATAATAATAATTGTCTTAATTTTGATAGTGTTTTATATTTTTTAAGTTGAAGTTACAAATCCAGGTTATGGTTCTCTAGTTAATATTATTAAAACAATAATTTTAATAAAAAATGAAATTAATATTCTTAAAAGGTTTAATATTTTATTTAAAAATAATAATTTAAATTTTAAATTGGATAAAAGTTTTTAACGTTAGCTACAGAATTCTATTATCTTCAATTTTTAAATCATATAATGATTAATGTAGATGCTGGGATATTTTAATTTAAGTATGGTTGGGAAACTTGCAGTATACAATCAGAAATAATTTAAATCTATTGTTATTTCTTTAGTTGTTTTTAGACTTTCATATTATTCAAAAATTGTTCAGTATAGTTGTCTTTAAGAAAACTCTCAAATGTGTTGTCTCAATTTAAAAAAAAAGTATTATATAAACAAATTTTTAGCAAAACTAATTTTGTGTTTTTAGCATAGATACTAAATAATATGAAGGTTATAGGATATTTTCTAGAGAATTTATGTAGGCTTCTACTAATATTTCAATGTTATCGTAGGTTTTAAGTAATACTATGTAGTATTTACAATTTAAATTTAAATTAGATGTTATAGTAAGTTTGTAAGACAACATATTTAGGTATTATAATTAATAATTTCAAGTTTCATTTCCATTTGTTAAATATATTTAAAACATACATTTTTAACTTTGTTTTTATCTTATACATGTATAGTATTAAAATGATAATTACTTATTTAAATTAAAAAATCATTTGTATTAATTTATAATTTTAAGTTTTAAAAAATTATTAGTAACAGCGACACAAAATAAAAAGTATAAAATTTAATTAATGTTAGACAACTTAATTTAGTATATAAATTTAAAAATTAAGAATAATATTATGATGTACATGAAATAGTTAATAAATCTTTATTTCTGAAATATATATAATTCTTAGGTACTATAAAGTATTCATATAATATAAATTTCTGCAATTACATTTTTATTTAATTTGTATATTTAAGCAAATATTATAAATATATATATATATTATACTTCATAATTGATTTGAATATTATACTTGGATCTTCCAATGCCCAGACATTTTCAATAAAAACTAAATAGCAACAAACTAAAATGTTTATAATATTTTAAATGCTTACATTGCCTTTATTTTTATTATGATATCATAAATAGATATATTAATGTAATGTTGTGATTTGACTTCATGACTATTAATGTAAATTTATGTAAAAAAACAAATGCGTAACTGTATATATTAACTACATTATTTTGTAAGAATTGTTTCCAAGTTGGAAAAAATTAAATAAAAAATATTTTTTTGTCATGACTCTCTCAAAAAGTCAATACTAGTTGAAATTGGAGGAAAATTATACAAACATATATAGATTTTGATATTTCCTATACTGATACGAAGAGTAATACTTAATAATTAAAGACTGGCAATATGAAGTATAATCTCAATATTGATGTATGTAAATACATATTGAATAATAAATGTAATATGTCATATATTTATATTTTGTTGATTATTTGATATTGTCCTACCTAACTTATAAACTTTCAATTATTTAAACTTTACCAAAATAAAAAATAAAATTAGTTGACTAAGTACTCATATAGCGTGTGGTTGATATAGCCTCCAGTAAATACATGATCTAGTAAACCATTACTAAAACAAAGGGGCATTCACTAAGTACAAAATTATCGACAATATTATGTTCTTAAATAAATGTAATAAAATAGTTGTCACTAGTCATTATTAATTATTAACAGAATAGAAATCTATTCAATTTTGATTCACGTTTTTTTGACCATCTGAATTACTTAGTGCTGAGGTCAAGTTGGATAAGGTTAGAAGTCTATAATAGATATTGTTTACTATATTTACAAAGTGTTGAAATTGAAAATTTTGGTTTTTAAGCATGCTTAGACCAGAAATGAGGTTTCAAGTATTTACATTATAATGTTTTTGATGAATCTAAAATAAACATTAATAATTCGTTACGAGAATCAATTTTATAACTTGATATTTTGGCTGTATCTTTTTTCAGTTTCGCGTAAAACCACTTCTAATAGTATTTTCAAATATTTGTTATTCATTTTCTTCGCTAAAAACACTTATTTTTCGGTTTCGAAAGTAAAAATCGTAGGAGAGCGATTGTGGCGGTTTGCTTAAATTAAATTAATTTTAATTGTTAAGTGAATGTTAACACATTTCGTATTATTAAACATTTAGATAACTAAATAAATAATAATATTAATAATTGTTTAATATCAATAATATCAACAACAATAGTTAACAATTTTGAATTCGGTTATCTTACCGAACATATTTTATGCTGGATTCAGGATCGGTGAGTTTTTTTCTAAGTTGGTAAATATGAATTTTTAAAATTTCTAAACTTCGTTTTTTTTTTTTTTTTTTCATTGTTTTTAAAGAATAAATTAGGGTGTTACTGCGGATGACCATCTGTTGAGATACTGTTACGGTGAACACTGATACCGACAACGGTATAATGATACAGGCCCGTGTTTAAACAGCAACAGTATATTATTCCCACCCAATATTTTTCTGGTGTTGGTTGGCTATGGAGGTGCACAGTCTAGAGATAACATATATGGCCGCCGTTCTATAGTTTAGACTCACACTAAATACGCGTCTGTGTGTGCGCGATCGGCACAACTCAGCATATTTTTCGTTTTGCGCGCGCGTGTGTGTGTGCGTGTACGTCTATGGGCGTATGTGTGTGTGTGTGTGTGCTTGTCTTCAAAACGTCTATTGATCGATGAAGCGAAGGCAATCGTAGCCATCGACAGCGGTCAGCGACGACAGGTGTTCGCTCGACGACGGCGATTTCCATCTCGTTTACTGTCCAGTGTTTGATCGTTGTTGTAGTATCTGTCGATTTGCTTATAACTCGGTATTAGTGGACTATCATCCAGTGATAGAAAACTTGTCGAATTGCGGCAGTGAAGTAGTATGTGGCTTAGATGATAGCGAATAATTACTACATTCCAGGCGGTGTCTAATTTGGATTTGTGCGATGTCGGTAGTATGTCCGTTATTGTTGAATCTCGTTGGATCCCGTGTTATACGTGGTCCCAGCTGGAAATGGAACAAGCAGGTAACTCTAAATTAAATTGTCGCTATTTCGCTTATTATTCGATTATAATATAGGTTATCATGTTGATGAGTGACAGTAATAACAACCTTTTTATAATTAATCATTATTGTTGTATTGTTTATATAAGGATGGAGGAGAAGGCTTTGTAGGGACAGTCAGAAGTTTTGAGTCTCATGAAGAAGTTGTTGTAGTCTGGGACAATGGAATAGCGGCCAATTACAGATGTTCCGGTCAATATGACTTGCGTGTTTACGACAGTGGTCCAACCGGTAAAAGATTTTACTTATTAAATATACTTAAGGTTTCAAACTTCTGCTTAATTTTTAATCATTACTGTCTATTAAGAATAATTTGTATTTGATAATACTTAATTTGATTTAAGCATAAAAGTTTTACATTTTTTTTTTGATAAATACAGCTCATATGTAAACTCTTAACAATTTTAGTTTATCGCAATTATTAACTAATATAGTAAAAGTAATATAAAATTAATAAATCAAAAACAAACTTGTTATCAAATTAATAATTATATAAAAGGACTACAAAAAATTTTCAATCTTAGAAAAGTTATTTAAATTCTGATTATTTTATAAATAAAATCATTTATTATTTGTGTCTTATATATTATAACGAGTAATTCTTTTACTAAACAACACTCACTTTTTCAAAATCTATTAACTTTTTTAAATTATTTCCAATCTATATATTACAATTTATAAATCAGTTGTTAAAAAATATTATTTTTTTTTTATTATATTGTCTTAGTTATTTTTTTGAATGTAACATTATTAATTTTGTATTCTAAAGCAAAATATTTTTGGAATATTTTGATACATGAAAATCGAAATTTAGATGAGTCGTTTATAAGTTATAACTTATAAGTATTTAAAGTTTAAGTAAGCGAAGTGGTATGGAAATATTCCACAAAATGTTGGCCTACTTCTTCACTCACCTGTATTTAAAAAAAAGTATTTTAAAAAACGTTAATAAATTTTGAAATATTGAGTGTTTGATAAAAGAACCATTCAGTATATAATATACCAAAATAACTTCATTTCTTATTTTATAGTTTAATTTTCAAATTATTCAAAATGGTAATCATGCGTTTTTAATAGCGCTCTTACAGTATATTTGTTTATTTAGTAGTTTCAAGTTTTAAACCATGAAACTTAAAAATTAATAGTTTTTATAGTTTCTTTAAGAATTTAAACATGAAAAGACCTATGTATGATATTAGTTTAGTACTTCATAGGTAATTTTTAATTGGTTAATTTATTTAATTTGAATAGTTAAGTTAGAAAATGAAAAAAATTTTAAGTTAACATCACTAAAATTTAATAATTACTTATTAATATACATTTAATTACTAAATTTTGTATACAATTTCTGTTTCTATTTTTCAATTTTGTTTTATTTTTTTTTATTGTTGTATCAAAAATATTCACAATTTGAATTTTTGATTATTCATAGGACACAGTAAGCATGAAGGAGTTGTTTGCAACGCATGTAAACAGACACCTATCATTGGACATCGTTGGAAATGCATGAACTGTCCTGGAAATGAGGTTTCAAGTGATAGTTCTGTTGATTTGTGTTTTATGTGTTATCATAGTGATAAACATAATATTCGACATAGGTTTATATTGATCCAACAGCCCATACCAAAAGAATTATTAAAAGACCCTCGTAGTCTTGGTGAAAATCCGGTTATATTAGAGCAAAGAAAAAAATCTAAAAAAATAACATTACGTGGTATATTTCCTGGTTCACGAGTTGTGCGTGGTGTTGACTGGCAATGGGATGATCAAGATGGAGGATCTGTTAACCAGAGGGGTTTGAACAATGCTGTTTCACAAACAGTTATTAAACGTGGTAAAGTGTGTGAAATTCAAGACTGGTCACTTGCAACAGGTAGTGTCCGCTCAGCTGCCTATGTCCAGTGGGATATTAATGGTAATACAGCTGGGTGCGTCAAAAACTTGTATCGCGTTGGATTTGAAGGAATGGTATGTATTTATCAGTTAAACAGATAATATAATATTTCATTAATTAAATTGTGTTTATTTTATAAATTCATAAATTTCATATTTATGTCCATTAGTCCGACTTGAAATGCGTATCTCCATCTAAAGGGTCAACAACCGTTTATCGAGACCACCTGCCATTGTTAGGCCAACACCAGCACCAACTGCGAAATGACCAGCACAGGCCAGGAATATTAAGTTTAAATCATCTAAATAACCAACTACAATATCAACAACTAGAAATTGGTGATCGGGTAAGAAGTTTTTTCAACTTTCTTTTTTAATATTTTTTGTTGGTATTTAGTATAATTTATGGTTACTTATAAATTCCCTTAACATTTTGTTAATTCCCCTAAAAGCATTTTCCTACCGTATTACACTTATGTTGATTTCCATAAATGAGCAAGTTAATGAAAATAATTAATGCAAGTTAAGTTTAAAGTATCGATAGGTTAGAAGTTGATAGTTAACAAATCATAAATTTAACTTGATAAGTTAAAAGTATTAACACGGAAAATAATTTTATTCAAACTCAGTTTAAAAGAGTTAATCTACTTTTATTAATTAGTATATGGATCATAAAAAGAGTAATTGTGTTCTTTCTAATTTCCTAAATTATAATAAACTAATTTATTAAATTGTTATCATTATGTACATTGTACACTGTATTACTTATTTTATTTTAGATGGTCATTAAATATTTAAACTATACACATCTCAGTTAATAATTTAATAAATTTTAATTTGTTTTATACTAAATAGCAATTTAAGGTCATATAATATTATATATTTAATTTAATCCTATTCTTTTATTTAATTGCCATGCTCTTTTGAAACATCTATTTGAAAAAATAATTTAGTTCCCTCATAATATTAATAATAGCTAATAATAAAGGTAACTGGGTCTGAATATTTTTCTTTGTCAGTCAATCACATACCATCGTCGTTATATGATCTATATTATTCTATAATAAATTTATAACATTCTTTATGTTTGTGTGATGTTTTAACTTTACATATTTATTTATTAATTAATCAGTAGATATGTCAGAAGTGCAATATTATCAGTGAACATGGTCATTTATTAATTGTGTATAAAATTTATAAATATTATTTTAAGTGTATATTGATTTAAACTGGTGAAAAGAAGTGGCGTTCTTGTATTAAGAAATGTTTCATATTATTACTCTATTAAAAAATAATTAACATGATAAAATCGATAATAATAGTTTTAATAAAACCAGCATGATGATGGATTTTCCTAAATATAGAATAATTTGAATAAATAAATATAAAGACAATTAAAAATACATATATTTTTGCAGGATAACTAGAACCGCCTTACGTAATGTTTTCTGAGTTACACTAAATAGTTCTAATATTTTTGTAAAATGTTTTTAGGGGAATTTACTGTTTTATTTTTTTAGAGGGGGTTACACATTGAAAAGAGATAAATTAATAAAAAGGCAACTCCTGTAGAAGATTTTAATATGACAATTGATGCTATCACCCTATGTGGCTGTCTTATGAATTAAAACCTAAACTTTGATAGTAGGTAGAATTTAATATAGCTATGTATCAATACTATTATTTATCGATTATCGAATGAACTGTTTTTAATTTTATATTTCTTATTTCCCATTCACTTTTTTAAGTTTTTTCATTAAAATTTTGAACCCATCATTAAGAAGCCTTGTGAAAAGTACTTGTAATCCTTTAATAGTTTTAATCCAGTTTACAACAGAAGGAATTTTTTGGTTTTTGTCTCATATTACATACTTTGTAAAACAATTTAAGCTTTACGCCAGTAGTCCTAACGTACAGAATTGAATGTAACTGCGCTCCACAATTCTTTTCCAGCATCTGGTTTGATTGTATTACTATTGACATTATCAAATAAGACTTTTTTATTCTCTTGACACTGATTGTTTGATATATTCAACAATACAGGCAACATTTTCTTAATGGAATCAATTCTCTGACTAAACACATGAGCAGCATATGAAACTTTCATTTTTTTCATTTTTTTGAGGATATATAATATGGTTATCTGTAAGTTTAGGAGCTAGATAATTTCTTCCAGTACTTTAGTTTTTGTCTAGTTCATAAAATTGAATGATAAGTTTCTATGATAAAATCATTTTTTTTATCATTATATGTGAAATTAAGATCTTTTGAAACTAAATTATTTCTTAGATCTTTCAACATATGAGGTACTTTACAGTGAGGTAGAATTTCTTAAGTTTCTATTTTAAAAAAAAATCCTCTACCTTCTTTTTTTTCTGTTAAATACTTCTCGACGAGTAATTGGTTAATTACTGAAAAATGTATAGAAGCTTGATCACAAAGTTAGATATTTAAATCCTATCAATTGAACTGCTTTAATGACTTTTTTGATATTTATTGATAAATTTGTATTGACCATAATATAACCATTAGTTAAATAGAATGCAACTGGCTGCTTGAACTTTTTACATGATCCTCTAACCATAAAAACCAAAGATTTATCTCCAAAATTGAACAATCAATTTTTACCACCAAAATCTTTAAACCCAATCACTTCATCATATATTTTATAAAAAAAACCACTGGGCTATAGTGATCAAGTTTGTGTTTTATTTTCCATACACCAGTCTTGAGATGTTCAAAAATATGTTTGTTTATACCAGCTCCAAATGGAATCGTCTTTAACAAATCCAAAATGCATTTTCATGAAAGCAATGCAAAAAATTTTGAGAGTACCTTATATGCTTTACCATTTTGTCTATAAAAAGATAAACTAAATATTTTGTCATCAGTAGTAAAACATTGACTATAAGGCTTATAAGCTTGCATACGTATCTGGGATTAAATAAAATTTAGTGTAAATGTATTTAATTTACCCATTAATTTAATATTTGTTTACATATATCTTTTAGCTTTTAAAATGCGTTGTTTTGCAGTTAAAAAAACGTTATTGTAGAACTGAATTTCTTTGTCTATATCTATGATATAACAATAATTTCCAATAATTTAGATAATTAACACAATTTGTGTTTATTTCTTCTAAGGTACCTTTGGCATTATTAAACAAATTTATAGGTTTGATTGGTATTTCACTGCAATTTGGAATAATTACATCATTGTCCATTACAGTTGTTGAATTCAACCATCTGAAGTTTCAGTAACTGATATATTGCAAAAATCTAAAAAAAATAATTATAAAACAAGATTAGTATTTATTTTTAAAATTAATTCATTAAATATGCTTTTGTATACATTTCAAGCTACAGTTAATTTTAAATTACATAGTGCATAGTTATTTTCAAAACATACTATATCAGAGGTATTCAAATTGTATGTCATGGTTTCATGGTTCTTAGGGGCATGAATTTGTGAAGGGAGCTGTAACAAAAAACTGGAAAATAAAGTATTAATGTAGGCAATTTAGCAATAATAGAAATGATAATGAAACACATGCCCAGTTAAACGTGTATCAATATGTGTATAAATATAGTTTATATACCGTATATTAATTTATATTTTATACAGTCATATGATAAATAAATAAATATTAATACCTAAACTATAATAATTTACATACATAATAATATAACCTTTTTTTTTTTTTTTTTCATTACTAATTTGGAAGCTGTCTAAATATTGTGAAAATAAAAAGGAGCTGAGGGATAAAAAATTTTGAATGCTTCTGTACTATAACATTCAATCTAATTAATTAGGCACGCTTTTTTGATTTTGTACAAATTTCAAGCTACTGATAATTTTAAATTAATTAGCTATTCTCAATAAATAATATAAATACTTATTGTTATAATATTTAATTACTTAATTTTAAGTAAAATATAGATGAGATTACTTAAACATAAATGAAGAGATAATAAAAATAGCAAAATGATTTTAAAACAATGTTTAAGAAATTGTTTGATATGAAGAATCAATACAAATTATTTCTGTGAAACATAAATAAATATGATGATATTGGTTATATGGTAAAACTATCCAGAGAAGTTCTACTTACAGATTAACTACATGTATAAATACAATTTAATTAAGTTTTTACCTGGAAGATTTAGTGTTGGAATTGAATCAACAATGAGTTTTTTAAAACCAGGCTCTTGCAACTATCATCATAATGTTTATCATACTTAACGTAAGATTGACAAATTTGTTGGATAGTTTTGTTCAACAGTTTATTGTTTCTAGTTCTTTCAACTCATATATCACACATTTTCTTATTCCTCTGGAAGTGATAACTAAGAATACTTTTATTATCGTGCATAGTATCACATCCAATGACCAAACACTGTTTAGAAGTCATACTTGAAATTAATCAATCAAAACAAATAATAAATGCACAGAAAAAACTTCACAAGCAATAATTAAATAAACTCTGACAGAAATTTCAAATAAACGAGTGAAAATCGTAAATCATGCATGTCAGCAATTAAAAATTCCACTATCTATAAAATTTTTATTTTGGGTTTTATATATCATAAAATCACTGTTGCCTATGTCTGGGAAATTTTGGAATTTTGTTATGATAGTATGTTGCAAAATGCATGTCTTAGACATGATATTATCTAACTTAATAAGTTCTGTCCTATAGAGTTACATATATATGAGTTTACATTTGTCCATAATACTCAAAATAATTAAATTTATTAAATATAATAATAAATTGTCTGTATTAGGTAAGAGTTGATCTGGAATTGGATGTTGTACGAGCTATGCAACAAGATCATGGTGGTTGGACAGATGGCATGTATGAAGAATGTTTGGGAGGTGGAGTTCTAGCAAATGCTTCTATTGGATCAGTAGTCGGTATTGATGAAGATCATGACGTTGTTGTTTTATATCCGAGTGGCAACAGGTGGACATTTAATGCAGCTGTACTTACAAAAGTACCACCACTTAGTGATGCATCAGTAGCCGGCAGTTCAAATGCAAGTTCATCACATGGACAGATTATTAGAGTAGGATCAACTGTAAGGATTTCTGATGATGTGGAATATGTGCGCCGATTACAAAAAGGCCATGGTGAATGGGCTGATGCCATGTCTATGGTATGATGTAATAAATTCTGTATTTTAGATAAATAAACTAATTATTTTTTATGATACTTTGTTGGAGTTGTCATTTAGTTATGATACAAATTTACATATAATATTATACTAATTAATTCTTTTCTTTTTTAGACTTTGGGCGAAATTGGTTATGTGCAACAAATATATGATGACGGTGATCTCAAGATAGTTGTGTGCAATACATCTTGGACATATAATCCACGAGCAGTTACCCTACTAAGTACAAATGGAGTTGAAGGTGTGTGTGTGTATATATGTATAATGCAACATTTATAATTGAATTGATAAATTTAAAATATGTGGTACAAAACCAAATTATTAAAATTTAACCAAAAAAAAAAATAAAATAAAAATACTTGATAATATTTAAAAAAACATAAATATTGTAGAGTCTCGATAGTCCGGACAAATTCAGTTCAAACATCTTCCTGATTACGGATTTGTCCAGACTACCGAAAGGCTTTCGAGATAACCTATTCTAATGACTAAGATATTTTATTTTTAATCCGCCACCTTTATATTACTAATATAATAATTACACTTTAAATTACTAAAATAACTAATAACTTCAACATAATAAATTACAAAAAAAATAAATATATATATTAATAATAATAGAACTCAAGTATAGTAGTCAGTAATTTTTATCTGAAGAATTCTGAACAAACTACAAATGTTATTATGTCATTAGGATTACTGTGTTAATCGAATTATCTATCAAGGCTCTATTGTACTTTATAAAAATATACAAATATACGCGTTAAACTAAATAAATTGATTCAGTATTTTGCAATTAATACTTCTAATGCATTCAAGTAGAAATGAACCATACTAAAACTATTTATTAAATATTATTATCTAATTTATTTAATCATTGGCTTTAGGTTATTATCATTTATTAATTTAATTTATTTAAATATGATTTACAATACATAATATGAATTGTATTTTATCTTTTTGTAGATTAAAAAAAAAAAAAAAAAAAAAAAAAATTAAAAATATGTCAGATTAAATGTAAAATATTAAAGTAATTATTTTATGGTTTGGATATATTTTGTAAGGTTAAATTTAGGATAGTTGATAATTGCTTTCAAACATATATTTTTTTATGATAAAATAATCTTATTTATCGAAATATTGAAATATGGATGGTCAATAGTTGGTATTGATTGATTACAAAATTTTGATGAAGAAGCTTGATTTTTATTTTCATTTTTATATAATACTGATTAGTATTTATAACTGTATTGTATTTAAATTGTGAGTGTCCCTTCCTATTAAATAGTACTAGTTTTTTTTTTTAATTGAAACTGAAAATTTAACTTATTTTAATTATTCATATATTTTTATTTAAAAAGTTTTTTTATTATTTAACATTTTAATTAGCGATTCGAGATGAAACTCTAAATGATAAACGGCTTAGATTAGCTCGTGAGAGGGACATAAAAGGACGTGAACTGGTGACGTCAGCAGCCAATGGTGATGTTCAAAACTGTCGTAAAATTTTGGAGAAAGAAAGACAAATGAAATTGAGTCAAATGAATCAAAAACCTACTGGGGAACCGACGACACCCAGTTATGTTCTCACACCAAGACAAGCTGCATTGTGTAGCAATTACACACGTCCACCAACTGCTGCAGAGTTGATATTGACAAATTTTGTGAGTAGTGGGCACACGTCTCTGCAAGCTGCTGCTCAAAATGGTCATGTCAATGTTTGTCGTATGTTAATTGGAGAGTTTAACGCTGATGTTGAATTTCAGGTGCAGAAATTAATTGATTATTATTAATTTTGGAAACTAAAATATTCTTCTATAATACCTGACATCATGTATTTTAACTTTTTGCAGGATAAAGATGGTGATCGTGCTATTCATCATGCTGCGTTCGGCAACCAGCCACAAGTAGTGCATTTGCTATGTGTTGCTTTTGATGCTGATGTGAATGCCCGTAATAAACGAGGACAGACTCCTTTGCACATTGCTGTTAACCGTGGGTATGCTGATGTATGCCGTATTCTGTTGCGTCTCAATTGCTTACCAAACTTGCAGGTTGTTGATTGGTTTTAATATTATACAATTAATAATTATTTTTTATTTGTACAAATAATAAATTAAGAGATATTAACTTTTTATAAAAGAAATTAGCTTTTATTAAAATATCCATAAATTAATATATTTATTTTAAAATTAAATAAATATGTTTACATTAAAGTTATAGTAATTAAAATTATTATCATATGATTTCATATATTACATTGTATAGAATTTAGTTATATTACTTTTACCATTTGTGTTTTAAGTTTTATATTAAACAATAGTAAAAAAAAAAAAAGACCTATAATAAATTTACTTAATATTTCAATGATAGGTTTTTAAACAATGATATAAATAACTATTGTAGTTATTTTGAAATATTATAATAATATTTATATAACTACTATGATGGAAAATATTTTTTCCTGTATTCCTAACTTTGTACATTTCAAATTCAAATTATATTTTTCTAAATCATTTATTATCAAATTTAAAAAGATAAATTTAATGTACAACTGTCAGCTTTTACAACATTGTTGTTTTAAAAAAAAATGTATATATTGAAAAATTAAAAATTATTAATATATATATTTTATTTATTGTTACTTAAACCTTATTTGGAAAATTCTGTAGTGCAATTATAGATTCATTTTTCTTTTCACAATTAGAAAAAAAAACATAATTTTGTTAAATCCCACAGAAATAGAGAAAGTTATCTTTATTCAATATACATATAGCTCTTTGGAATAGACATTTATGGTAAATCTTGGTGTAGTATTTTTTCAATTGTTCATATAATAATGTAGAAATCACAGATAATAATTGTTTATTAAATGAAAACTATGTTACTATAATGTATTTTTATTGATTGTGTTTATTTCTGTTATACCAAAAGGACAATGAGGGTGATACACCACTACATGATGCCATATCCCGTAGACGAGATGATCTTGTAGCCATGTTAATGGAAGGAGGAGGAGGGAGCATTGCCATTAATAATATACCTTCGAGTGCTGTTGCTGCTAGTGTTTTGAATGGATCTGAACGTCCCTTCGACCGCTTACCACCTATGCCAGTGTCTACAAATCGAGCTATAACAAGTTCTGCTCTGACAAATACTTCAAATGCATCAAATACTATATTAACAGCCAATGTTGCTGCCAGTGCTTGTGCAACATTAAATGATGACAATGTCGAAAATGCCGCTGTAACTGAAATGCAAAAAGAAAAGAGTACACCTTCAATAATCAGTAATCAAGAAGAGGGTGCTGCTGGGTGCTCTACTGCCACTGCAGGTTCTTCTTTAGAAACTGCCAAATCCATAGAAACAAGTGAAAGTGCTGTAGCAATCTCTGAAAGTCAAATTACTTCTGCTACAGAACTAGGATTTCCAGCTATTGGTTCACCACCAGCTGATCTCATGGTAGTTAACACTAACGGTTTCAACCCATTGCAACACGCAGCACTACGTGGTAATCCAGGGTAAGTGATAAATACAATATACTACTAGCTTAAACTTTTATTGATAATTATTATAGTAAGAAATAAGAGTTAGAGTAGAGTGAGTGAAACATAATATGAAGAATTGTATTTAATTTATGCTGTTAAACTCTATAGATTTTGCAATAGAGTAATAGGGGTCTAATATATGATCTACAAAAAAAAAAACTTGTTTTTATAAAATCATTTTATAAATGGTGGTGGTGGTGCAATGTGTGTGACTTGATCATTTATTATTATTTTTTGTATCTTTTTTGAGTTATGATGCAATTTAAACATTGTAAATTGATTAAAAATGGTCAACATCCCATAATCATAAAATATAATTCATGTTAATATGTTTCAAGTACTTACTGTTTTGTTTGTGAATTATCATATATTTATTTGTTTATTAATATGATTTGCTAATTATTTAAGTAGACACATGATTTTGACCAAGTGGCAAACTATTATTTAATATTGCATATTAGATAATATAAGTAGATCTTAATATATATTGTTGATCGAATGTTGGATTAAACAATTTTTGACATATTGAATACTAATCTGCTATCTACAATAGGAATTGTTAGATAGGGCTGGAATAGTCATGAATCAGTTTATTTTATTTTACCAAGCTAGTTATTTTTTAACCAAACAATAATTTTATTGTTTTTTAAATTTTATCAGATATCAACATAATGTTACTGACTAACTAAGAGTATTTCTAACTATTCTCTACCTGACTTATTCTATTATTTAATTTATGCAATGGGTTCTGATTATTTTTAGAAATAGAAAATATTTTAGTATATAATAGGAGCGACCTTAGTTAAACTTTAGGTTTATACATTAAAAACTTAAATGTATCATGCTAAAAAAAAAATTTTGATCGTTTTAAAGTTTTATCGGATTTTTGTCAAACAAATGAAATAAGTAAGTCGTTTTAAATTTAAAAATTATATTTTTTTCTTATCTGTTAAAATATGTTTTAAACAAATACTTTTTATTAGATTTGAATCATATATAATTATGCATTAAAAAATATTATTTTATATATGTATAGTCTGTAGGTAAAAAACCATTTTACAAGAATTACTACTCCAAATTAGTATGCAAGGTTCTCAAGAATATATTTATAATTAGATCCTCTTTACATAACTTCAGTACATGTATATATTAAATATATGTAAGACATTAGGAGCGAATAATGGCAAGGAATAAAAAGGAAAAAATGTTTGACGGCGACCTGGAAGAGTATTATATGACTAGCTAATGGTTATGTATAGCTTGTGTTGCGGTTTTATAATGCACATTGTGTGTCAGAAGCAGCTTGTTATATCGCATTTCCAATGTTGACATGGGTTTGGTCATAGGGAACTCGGCGATCATGCACATTTGATGAGGTGGCATTGTTCTTGAGTGAGTATAGTAGACGGAGGACCCGTGATCATAGGTAGTGTGTAGGAAAATCGTACGTATATCCCTTGGATATCATATGCTACTATCAACCATCATCGAATAGAAGTAGGTACAGACTCAAATCATCCTCTTTTGTAGTGGTCGAGCACCATAGGGGGGATATACCTGACCAGGATGATTCCTACGTAATACGTTGTCGTTTAGCATACCTCCTACTGACAATATTGTCATAATATATGTACTACAATTTTCGTTCCGATATTATACTTTTCAACAATCCTTAACTCTTTGAATTTGATTAAATTGGCGTTATGTTATATAATATATATCCATTTATGCGCAACGATAAAAATATTGTATCAAATTGAATTACGCTCTCGATGCTTGCTTTGTAGCGAGTAATAAGCTAATAGCAGTGATTGCGGCGTTTACGCGCGAGTTCCACGTGTACTTACGAAAAAGTATCTCTTTTACATTATCATTTGCGTATTTAGAGTTTGGAATTTCGAAAATGTATATTACACACGCAGTATGTCAAGATTTTGATGCATATACATTATACGTCGTGAATTGTACTATATTTTCGTTTTATCGTCATTTAAAATTATTATGATTCTCACGACTAAAGTTTTATGTTACCTACGCCAACGTTTTACATGTATGTGTTTGCGCATATTGCATGTTCGTGTTATTACTACAGTTTAAAAATGCTAGTCGATTTTGAAATGAAACAAATATATTTTTTCGATTGGTTAGCATCGGTATACAAATTTAATTTCATCATTATTTAATATTTCAAACTAGTAATGTGATGATGTAGCGTCCGAAAAAAAGAATACTGCGGGTTGTTTCGCGTGTTGGAAGTTTAAGTGCTCGAATCTTGCACGCCTCAAGATATAGTTTAAGGGTGACATTGTTCTGTGCGTTCAAAAAGATTCTAAATGTATAAAAAACTACAGCTAAATACTATCATATATATTGACGGTAGTATAAACATTTCATGTACATCTATAAATTAAAAATTACAACACATAAAACTACGATTGATAAACATTACAATTAAATGTATATACATTTGTTTTTGTACATTATTACAAGTGTGCGCATATATTATATAACATAACCATAATTTAAATCTCTAATATTTATTAATTTACATATTTTAAAAATATATAATGTTAACACATTTCAGATTAAAATACATACATTTAACTTAATATTAAATAAGTCAAACACGTTATTGCGAGATAAGATGATTTTTGGTGGAAATTGTAGTTTTTCGCGTGCTGGCTACAGCTGGTTGAAGGGGACCAAATGTGATTGAGACAGTAACAGCAAAAGCATCGTATTTCACAGCTCCAGAAAATCAGTTGTAAGAGTACACATGATAATCGGAAACAGAGTGAATCATATAAAAACTTTGTAATTGTCTTTGATACGCACGCTGCTGCTACTGCACACAATTCAATTAATACATGTGTATTTGGCCCAGATCCAACCAGCTACAGCTACACGCGTTTTTCAGCAGTAGTAGTAGTAGTTTAGTATCTCGATGCCGAAAAGTGATTATCTCCATAAAGATGCTGTAAATGTATTGCTTTATTGATGAACGTAATTCTAATCAACTTACTAATTAAAATACACATAATTACCATCAGAGCAATAATAATAAGTACGTGTATGATATTTATATATAATAATATTATCATGTGTATGAAAAAAAGTACAATATTTTTAATCCATAGTAATAACCACAGTTGTTGCCGTCGTAGGCGATCTATTTATACAACAATATAGCTACCTACCAACTATAACTATTACTGTCGTCGTAATATCCGTGCCAACAATTTATTTACATATCATAATGCGAAAGACACACTGTATACAATGATGCACATATTTTTAGTAATAAGCCAATCACCGCGGGCACATTTCATATAATACTTAAAACTACTTATACAACTTATAAGTAATATAATTTTTATTCTAATAATATTATATTGTATACTACGGACATTACGACGATTACAACAATATTTTCAGACCATTATACGGTGTAGATTCGACGGATTAACCTCTGCGTGTTGCCCTTGCCCCCTCGTACGTAAACAGTGGTGGTTGTTCCATCATCGCGGTATCGCGTGTTAGCGGCAATAATAATTAATGTAAAAAAAAAAAAATAACTAAAATATCGAATGGACGACGTTTCGTCTTTGGTCAGGAGAAGGGCCGAGTCTACGCGCGGGCGATTTATTACTGTGAAAAATATGTATACTAAAGACCGAGGAGTGCTCACTTTGTACAGTGCTTACACACGTATGGTATTATCCTTAAACTGTCGACTGTATAACTGTTTTAATGTACGCGGCACGAGTGCACGGTCGTCACGATGGCCGGCCGCGGACTGAACGGACTACGGCGGAACCTCTGGCAGCAGTAGCAGAGCCAGCAGCCAAGCAGCAGCAGCTCGGCGGCGGTGGCGGCGTTACGCTAACCAGCTAGCTAACGTTGTGGGCGGACGGGGGGGAGGGGG